GCTTTACGTATTGCTACCACGCCCTCGTACTTCCTTTCAAAAAACTAATGCAAAGGTTTTGGGACCTCCGTAATGACACGGTGGAGTGTACTACCTTGACGACATCCTCATACCTGCGATTAGCGACATGCGAGTCAGGTTAACCAAGACCCTGATGGCGCTGAGGTGCCGGATTAACGCTGAGGATCGAAAAATGCTACTTCATGCAGGAGCGTGTGGGTATTTGGGGTTCATTCTGGAGTGCCGATGGCATAGAGCCTGGCCCCGCAAAACTACGAGCGATCCTTTCGGAGTATCCTGCGCCTACAGATATTCACCAGCTACGGCGTTTCCTGGGAATGGCTAGTTTCTCTGCCGTTTATAGCCAATTTGGTTCCAGGGGCCGCTTACCTTTGGAAATCAAAATTACGACGCTGTGCAGGATATTGTGCCTGGCAAGCGGAAGCGCCACTGCTGAAAGTGAAAACGCAAGGAAGAGCCTACGAGTCACAAAGGTTCCAGCCTGCTTCGTAGCATACACACTCGAGGACGAGTGAGAGTCAGGACGGTCGAGTGTTAGCGAAATGCGTAACGGGTGGCAACCAACAACACAAATATTAAGCATTACATTATTTCTTCCTGCGTAACACCGGCACTGCGTGCGCCCGCAGCAGCTTTTGGCACAAGCAGAGCGCAGCAGACGCAGATTAAGAGACGCCTTATTCAATAAAACGCTATTCAACATTCTTTACAATTACAAGTGCTCATTGTTTCATGCTTATCTTTTATCAATCACCCTGCCCTCACAAGTGCCACACCTAATATACAAAAACATGATTTTTCTTTTTAGATACCAAGGTAACAAAACATAGATCTATATATTCATCACCGCACAGCAAAACGCATTGGTATAATGATCCTGATTGTATGTGTTGCCTTCCTGTGTGTATTGCACCACTACCGGCTGGAAAGACCTGGTAGGCTGGAGTCAACGCATCGAAGACATAACAAGGCGCATCGTTAGCCAGGACATCAGCTATCAAATATTCGCAACTGCGAGCTCCTTCTATCTTCCACTGATGGTTATACTTATACTCTACTGGCGTATATTCCAAACAGCACGCAAACGCATCCGCCGTCGACAGATTCTGACGCAAGCGGCTGAGACTAAGGATAATCCCGCGATGTGCGGTATTGCGGGTGGCCTAGCTGGGGCGAGCGCGTCGGGTGGCATAGCTGCAGCTGTGGTGACAATTATCGGCCGGCCATTGCCGACTATTTCCGAAACAACAACCACTGCGTTCACAAATGTTTCTTCGAATAATACAAGTCCAGAAAAAGCTTCCTGCGCTAATGGTTTAGACGATCCACCTACAACTACAGACGGGGATAATCCTTACCCAGGTGGGCCGCAACACGTAGTCAAAAGAAAAAGTAATAAATATTCAGCGGATTCAAAGCGTGAGCGCAAAGCGGCGAAAACCCTGGCGATTATCACAGGTGCATTCGTCATTTGCTGGTTACCATTCTTTGTAATGGCTGTACTACTACCTATTTATAAAGATCTCTTTGAGGAGTATGTTATCTCACTGTTTTTATGGCTGGGATACTTTAACTCCACGCTGAATCCGATTATTTACACGATATTTAGTCCGGAGTTTCGCCATGCGTTTAAAAAGATTCTCTTCGGAAGGAATTACGCACGTAGGAGGCAGAAACAGTTTAATATCAAGCACTTCCAATGATGTCGGCAGAGTGACGTCTTGTCGCCGGAGCCGCCGCTGTCGGCGCGGCTCGCCGTCAACGTCGCCGTGACGGCTGTCGTGTCGGGGCCGCGTAATGTCACCTTCAAGTGCGACTGATCCGAGGACAAGAGGTCACGCTACCTGGTCGTGCCCAGCAACATTGACTGCGATCCAACCAGCAGCTGCATGGATACAGAGATTACTGAAGTGATGGTTCCCACGCATGCGCAGAACAAGCGAGTTACGTTTGAGATGAAAGAATTTACGTGATAAAAATTTGTGTGTAATGTGAAAATGCAAAAAAAAAAACGCAGAACAATCAATACAACATTTAACCTTAAATGATTTTAGGTTAGGTTATAGATTATAGCAATAATTGATGTGGATACAAGTGTGTATATAATATCATACCATTTGTAGAATATTCAGTTTAAATGTAGGCAACACACATTACATATTACATCGTATTGTAAATAACCTTAATATGCAAACTGACCAAAACTAATGAAAAATAATTTGAATATTCATACTCCAAATTACCACGTGTGATATTAATATTTGTACATATTACATATGTGTATACAGGGTGTTCCGCCCCTTTAAAATTCATCAAATGACTTAAAAACTTAATCCACCATCAAATAAAACAAGATTTTAAAATAATGTTGCGTAAATAAAATAATTAAATCAATTTTTAAACAAATGTTAATGGAATAAAGAAATCTAAATGTGGTTTAATCCTACAAGTCTATAAATACCGCAAACAAACGTCTTGGATGTGATCTACAATCATTATCTGACTTAAATAATTGTTGCATCTGCAGATCTACACAAAATGTGATGTTAAATTAAGTGATTATGTTAGTATCTAATGTGTATATATTTTATTTGTTTATTTGTTTCTTGATTTCGGAATGCACTTTCAAATGTTATGGTAACGTATAAGCAAAAAATGCGAATTATAAAATGCTGTGATCGAATCGATTCATAAGAATATTTTTGTATCGCATCTTATTATTCTATTGGTTAATTGGCAATGGATGAACAGGGTGTTTGTGATTGAATTATTTCTATTTTTATTTTTGTGCATAAAAAATGTTCCAATCTTGAAAATGTATAAATGTCGCATAACCACAGTGTATATAATCAGGAGTAGGTGTGTATCTCGAATATGAAAGAGGAAAATGTACTGCTTGAGCCCGTAGTGCATTTTACTGTTTTCATGTCGCCTTAACGAAAGACTCATCGTGTAAATTATGAAGCGCATTATACGAGTGGTAGTGGTGGAGTAGATAATGTTCCCGTTGTAAAATAAATCTCACACGCATCAGTTTCTGTGTAATATACATGTGAATACACTCCCGTAGGTAGTAGATTATAAATATTTATGATGTTTGTAAATTTCAAAGAAATGTATGTTTAATACCTGATGTACTTAGCGAACAATGTAAATCGCATTATAATAATAAATGTATTTTTCATATAAAAATGGGGGAAATATATTAATCAGTAAAAAGCTTATTAAGTTTTTTGACGTGATAACGTCTTTAAAATCGTTTTAGTCGGGTGACATGTTCAGAAACTTGTGTCACGAGGCCTCACGAGGCCGATCGCTATAACGAGAGAGAGACGGACCGATCTCCCGTCTCATCTCGAGCGCTGCCAGTCATTCCGTGAAACTAGACACGCGGAATCCACACGAGCGGAGGCAGGCATAGTGTTCGAGTGAGTGGACCGATCTTCCGTCTCTCTCACTCTAGCGGCATACAAACGAATGGAGATTTTCTCGTGCGGTTAAGTTTTCGTTGAATGTTTAACAGTAAAACAAAATGTGAAGTGCAAGTGAAGTGTTACAACAATTGCAACAAACAAAACTTATATCACCAATAAGACGTTATCACGTAAACATCTCGATCGTAAACCTACTTTACAAACAACCATTTTTTTATAAAATTGAAAAAAATTAAAAAATTGATGCCAATGAACGTTTTAAATGTGTTTTTGATAAGAATGATATAATTTACCTGTTGAATTAAGAAGAAGTCACAGGTAGATACCCCTTTTTTGTATTTGCAGGTTCCCACATCTCCTATTGGTGAACCTAACCCCCACCACTTTTTGCGGGTCGCCGCAGATATAAAAGGCCAGCACGCAGGAAGCACAATGCCAAGGGAGGTCCGAAGCTTCGCGGGCGTACAGTCAGTCGACGATTTACTGTTTATCCTAAACGTGTTAATTCTGAAGCACAATGCTCAGTCGTACCTGAGTTTCCAAGGAGTTTTGTCGCAGTTCTCTAAGTCACTTCCTCTTTATTCGTTGAGCGCAAGTTGCACATTACAAATGTCCACCCTCAGTCTACTATTTTCTATACATCGGCTTAAACCGCACGATACAAATTGATACAAATAATGGAACAGTGTAGCTTGTGTCCTCTGTCGTGTTCTAGCAGTAACTTTATTCGTTGAATACAAAGTAAATCCATATTCTGTACACGTTAACACGTTAACAAGTTGCCTATATTACCGGAGTCTAATCCGGTAACCTTCACTTGTTTTGCAAGTTTATCCAAGTATAACTCCGGTTCCAAGTTCATACTAATATGAAGTGTACATACATCTAATGTATTCTAATGCTCACTGATAAAAAGTTGCAAACGTAATATTACACGAAAGCATTCCTTATCCTAAAATACTTTTAAACACCATATTCTTCCCGTTTTAAGCAAATATTAAAGCAAAAAATATGAAGAACTTATTGATTATTACAATTCTTGCTTTGTTTGCCTGTACATTTGCTGAACAAGCAAAAGATGAAGAATTATACAGCAGAGCAGTAATTGAAGTGAGTAAATATTATATTATTAACTATAAATTTATTAAATAATGATAATTATCTATTGTTATAGAGCTGTCCAGGTTGCTCACTAAATCGCCTCCCAGAAGTAAGAAAATTCATTTATGATGATGTCCCAAAATACAACAATGTTGAATTCAAGAAGATTCATGGTGCCAAACCAGAATTAGTCTTATATGATGATACTGACACAGAAGTAAGCAGAATTAAGCTGGAACAACTCACCAGAAAAGAATGCAATCAATTATTAGCATCAAAAGGATTCCAAGTGAAAGAAAACAATAAAATTGAATTGTAAATTACAACATACAATTCATACTAAAACAATCAATAGCCAATCATAAAATCTGTATGAAAATAATGTGTGAATGAATGACATGATTCAGTAAACATAAATCAATTTGCACTAAAAGTAAATGAATTAAAGAAAGAATGCTTTAATGATAAATTCAATAGGTTTGTATCAGATATCAGAGCATATCAAAACTAGTAGTGTATAAGTATTCATCAATCATGATAACTCCGCTATGTGAAGACCCTGGTCCCTGTACAGCACTCTGCGGATGTTTGCTGCGATCGCCACCTCCGCAAAGTGTAAACGGATCAGGAAAACGTGCCTCGTACACCATTTCCAAAGGAAACACCGAAATCATATCAGTGTCACACTCCAATCTACCAATAAACCCCGGCCATGTTTGTTTCCCAGCTGCTTCGTACGAAATCCGCGGATCTTTGCGATAAATGAACTTCTGGTTAACTGATATGACATGCATGATGAAAATGGAGCTGATTCAATGATTTTTGGTGAGATTACTGAGAATTTTGTTACATTTAATGACAATCAATGACAAATGATTGAAAACAATCAATGATTGTTACCTATTGCTATTAATTTGACTTAAAACTCGATTGCACTACGTTTATATTCACTTATTCTGTTATATAATTACAATGTCCAGCCAGTAATTCATATTTACAAACATAATCACTAATACCTAAAGAAAATAACTGCGAAACAGGAAATAGAGCTCTAGATTGCTAAGTAAAAGCATAGAAGAAAAATAATAGGAAAACAAAACAATGAAATGCCTAAAATATCTTAACTTCTAAAATATTACATCAGATTGAACAATAGTTAAAGTCAACAGTATGTTTCCCTACACACAGAAATGAATCCCATCTTAGAATTTAAGCCTTTAATTTAAACATCCACCGAATGTCGCGGAATGGACTGCATCAGTACATATGTTAGATTGGTGTCGTGCTGAGGGGGCTGCGTTGCTGTCTCCACATTAAATTTCATGATATCATCTGTGTCGATTACGCCAGCAGCAGCCAAATGACACAAATCACCGCCAGCCATAGGAATACTTTCGACAAAAACTGCTCTTCCAGATGCTGCGAGGTACCACGAGCGGCGGCACTGGGCCGTGTATCACCCATGTTGAACGTCGATGTGAAGAAACCGAATGGGAATGCGCCAATGCCAAACGAAAGGTGGAATCCACTATCGCCGAATCCAAAGTCTGAAATTGAAATATAGCATCAACACACTGTATATCCAGCTCTTTTTATCTATATACATATGCATAGTAATTATTTATGGTTATTTTGTGCTAAGTCACGAGTTTGTTGATGTAATTGCGCAATTGTTTCACGCCATGTAAACAAAACCGAAATGTTTCGTGACGCAAGCCAATTATCATTTAGAAAACTCAATTCATGCCTGAATTAAATAATTAATGCCAGGTATTTACTTGAAAAGTGGGTGCCAGCTTCAGGTTCGGTTCGCTGGCCTTGTGGTCGAGGTGGGAACTTCTCTCTGGGGTCCTGTTGGTTTGTACTGCCTCGGCCGTAGAGCGGGATGACTTTTTCTTTGTTTATTGCCGCTTTGCATACCGGGCAGACTTGATTGTTTGGTCTTGTGTCAAGCCACTGATGTAAACAGGGCCAACTGAAAGAAAAATACAAAGAAACTTAGAATATTGATGATTTTAGAGTAAAAAAACGTAAGTTTTAGTTAAAAGTAAAGTTTTTATGATGAATTAGTCACAATATTGAGTAAAATTTACTGGAAAACATCATTTTACTTCGTAGACAGTGGAAAAAAAGTGGAATTATGTAAAAATATGCAGCATATCAGCAAAAAACATGCAAATTGCAGAATTTAATGAGCGTAGTTGTTTTGTGCCGGCATAATATGATAATTCTTTATTTTCCTTGTAAATTTCAACTCCACTTTGACACAGTTACACAAATAAACTTGATTTTCCATAAACCAGCTACCAGTAAACAAAATACTCTTTTTTTTCTTAAATAATTGAAAAGTTTTGAATGCTTACCAGAATAAATGCCCACACAAACTGACAACAGCATCTCTTGCAGTATCCAAACAAATATTACACTCAAATGTCCGCTCATCACGGGTTTCCTCCCCTTCGGTGGCACCACCTTCAGTACTTGTACTTGTAGTCTCCTTCACCTGCGGCTCCTCTGCAGTGGTCAGCACCATTTTGCGGCTGGTAGAGTTGGTCTGGCGAGCACAAAAGTAATCATGTAGCAATGGCGCAATATGTTGAGCAATTAGGCGCGCAATAATCGTGTAAAAAGTTGCGATTGCATTGGGTCACCAGCGTCGCGACTTTCGACGAGAGTTCGCGTTCGACTGGCATGGGAAACATGACCGAGTTCGCTCGGGAATTGATTGGGCTGACGTGTGGTTCATTCACTCACTCTTAGCGCTGAATTATTGATGCTCCGCCCGGCGGCGACGATGACGATTTTCCACTAATCAATCATTCGTGGCGTGAAATGCATACTCACTATCACAATAAAGTAAATAAATACGTCGTACTTGTCCTGATCCCCAAGACTCCTACTTATTTTGATATCACCTGACAGGTCAGGGTGATGACATTTTATGATTAGTGATCAAATTCACCGCCAGACGTCACTAGTGGTGATGTTGCTTTAAATCTTCATTTGCGTTGTTGCTCGTGAATTAATCACCCAAACTAAAAGCGTATTTGTAAATATAATTTACATGCATAAATAAAACATTAAATATAGCTACTTGTTGTTGATATTTAAATAAAAAACGTAGAATTTGTTTGCTACATTTTAAAATCTAATGTGTGCGGGATGAGAACGGAAGTGATTTTATGGCGCATGCGCTTGTTTCGTGTGTTTTGTTGGCCGGGTGACTTGTCCGTGCGTAGTGCATTCCCGTCGCCATTGCAGCGGCGTGAACGAGACAGTTTCGTTCGCCCTGATAGGGATATCCATCGCGTCCGGCAGCCGCCTGGGGGTCCTCAGCTCCCCGACCTGAAGGTCAACCCGTCTCCGGAAGCACTCCTCCACCCAGCAAGTATATTGCACGCGCATTGAATACGATAGCGTTCGTGCACATTTTTTCGGCTAGACTGGTATAAACATGGCTTTGTAAAATGTGTCCAACGAAATCATCTCGTGTCGCTAACGCTCCACGCGGTGGACGCCCATCATCCGGCGCGCCCTTAGTAAGTAAGTCTGGAGGAAATGGAAAAGTTAAAAGGCAATCGCCCGAATCAGGCATCGGCGAAGGGCCAGCCATCTGATTCGAAAAAGAACAACCAAGGTGAGCGCATGTCACTAAAAATAGTCAACCTCATACCCTATTACGGAATACGTTACAAAATGGCGTCGTGACTATTGTTCGTGCATCATCGTATATACTCGCTAACATGTGCGATGCTATTGGTTGCAGATGCGCTGGGTGGCAAGCAATTGCCGCGCGGCGGCCGTCGCCGTGAACCGGCTGGCGGCAGTTTTCCGACCAACAAATCTGAACCATCTCGCAAACCGCAGCCGCAACGGGCGCGCGGTTTCGACAAACGCCCGCGCACACGTGGTGTCTACATCCCTGGCAATAATGCTGGCGGTGCAGGCAGTCGAGATACAACCCGGCTAGAACAGGATGAACTGGAACCGGAAGTTGGATCCGTTTTTGTGCAAGGCAGCAAGCAAGCAGAGTTTGAATCATCTGCTCAACTTTCATTACACGCCACGTGAGAATCACACTGGCGGTGGACATACTGCGAGGAGTCCCAATGTCGGTCACAAATGGGTGACTACTGGAAAGCACAAGTACAACAAGGAGCATTTCATTCAAAACGAGTAATTACATTTTATTTTTATTCTCAAAGAAAAATACTTTTCATATGATGACATATTTGGGGTTTTGCTTGAATATTTTGTGTGAGCATTGATAATAGGACTGATTTAAAAAACTTAAACATTTCAAAACATTTGCAATTCTTTTACAAATGTTATATTTTGATGTCATTTTGCTTGCAGTTGTCAATTTATTGTGCAATCTTCAGGGGACTACAACAGTACATGAACAATCCTGATGCTCTTATTGACTATAATTTATTGAACAAATTGTAAGCATTTTGCTAGTTTTTCTTTTTAATCTTTACCAAGTCTTGAGTACATAATAACTTTGCAGTTTTGAAATTTTACCTTTGGAAAATCAGTGTAAATGCAAATATCATAACAGCATAAATTAAACATAATTTTGCTACCATTCCTGCATTTGAACACTTATTCAAAAATTCAAAATGTTTATTTTAATGTAAATTTACAGAATCACGAACAATAAAACCCATGTATGCGATCACGCTGCATCCGTGCTGGCGGCCAAAATATTACATTGCGGTCCTTATCTATTGTTAGTCCTGTATTCTACACTACCTGGCATTGTCGGAAAAGTCTGGAGTAAGCCCTATCTGCCAGCAGGGCATTCAGCGCTCGAACACCTAAAGGTTGTGTTTGAATTCAATTTCTTAGCGTTTATTTACTGAATTTATTTATTTATCAAAGTACATTTTGTATGCGGTATCTGATACTGAATCAACTGTGGATAGTAGCACGGTAGATGTGAAAGTATACTCTACTGTGTCAGTCCCCTTACCAAAGAAAGCATATTTTGTGGCTGCGCAATATTATTCCAAACGTTTTTTGATGTAATTTCAGTGTTTGTGCGGCGGTCTCACATCCGTCATTTCAACGTGAACCGAAGCGATGCGTTTCAGTTGATGAAGCGCGCGCTCGCGGTTCTCTATTACATATCCGATCGACACCGGCAATCACTACAACCGAGAATCAACCATTCTCTTTGTTGAACTTTCCGGACGCGCAATCACTTTGAATCGTGCAAATTGTTGATCACTGTAATTGCGATATCAGCGTCGAACGCCGCAACGAAAAGTTGGAGTTGAAGGCTCGGCTGTTGAGCGAATCGACTTTATCAGAGGAGTAGCTTCATCAGGCAGTCTATGTAAAACTTCAAAGAGCGTAGAAAATATTCTTTTGGCGAATTTATCCAACGAAGTAAAACCGCGCGAACGGTTCCAGCTCAAACATGATATACTCAGCGGTGAACAACCATCCAGTGAGCTGGCATCATTCGCATCAACGGCCGCGATCCTCCTATGAAGTATTTCCTACTTTTATCAGGCCGCTGAAATTGCGGCCAGCATATACCCATTGGTGAAATGTAAGGATGTTGGAGCATACTTACGGTTCACTGGGTTTTCTGAAGACAATCTCCGAGACGCATTATTTGAGAAAGGAAGGCGGGTCGATGACTGAAAGTTACACCAATCGTTTTCGGTAACAGCATCTACCGGTGACTTGCCAGTTCGAAGTTGCTGAAAATTCAGCCTGCAATCTTCATGCGTAAGCGAGAAACGGCGGATGAGTTTCCAGAACAGCTGCGGGTTGAGAAAAGAAACGGCGTCAGAAACGTGCTAGAGAAAAAGCACTTATGAAGAAAAAGATTACACAGAAGGGAAAATCCGGCAGGAAATGGGAAGATTCAGCTAAGCGATATTACAATTCGATGCCAGGTGCAGTTTCAATTTAAGGAGTAGTCCCAGGTCGATATAGGTAAAGAAAGAATGCGTGAAGATTCCTTATCTACGTCGAGAAGTGTTTCACCTGTTTCCTTACGGAGTCAGGGTGATGGAGAAGTATCAGGACCATCTTTTGCTACGGTAAATTTATTTATTTTAAAATATTTGCATTTTGTTTTTGTTATTCATTGATATTCATATATTTCAATGAATATTAACAAAGTGCTAGAACAAATGATAGGATAATTAACACAAATTATTAATTTATATTAATTTGTGTCAGTCCCCTATTCAACAATCCCTCTTTGAATGTCCTAATTACCTTCTAAAGTAATTATTTCTTTAAAGATGTTAACCGCAAAACGCCAGCAACCATCTTGGCCGCAACTTAAATCATCTCCACAAATCTCGCAGGTGGAATCTTTCCGTTTGATTAACGTCACCGGCTCAAAGCTCACAGCCACGCCAAGGCAGGTGAGGGTAGACAGCGATAACGAGGACGAAGATTACGTCCCGGCGCCGGCTTACAACAGCAGTTTTAGCGATGCTATCGCGATGGCTTTAGAGAAAGCCTCTCTGTCGCACGATGTCGACGCAGTGGGCGATAACAACGTAAAGTGCGGACAGAAAAAGAAGAAGAAGAACAAACAAAAGATCTTGTTTGCTACGTCTATGACCTACTGCGACAAATAGTTCCAGGAAGAGATGATAATTATTATTTGTGTTTTAAACAAAAACAAATTTTGGTTGCACTACAGGTACTACTCAAGCAAGTCACATAAAATTTTGATTTCTACATAACAGCTAATATAAATTACATAGTAATATAATACCGCAGATTAATTATGTATTAATTTATTTTGAAATGTGTTATAAATTCTTTAAATTCGTCTATTTTCGTACGAATATGTTACTAACTTTTATTGTTCATGATTATAATGGTTATAAAAATTCTGAGTGCAATGTTAATTGTCACAAGTGATCAAAATTCATAAAACTCAAGAAATACTATTGTGCGTGTATAGCTAGGAACATTTATAATTTAGTCGGAAGTTTTTTGAAGATGCGTCGTGCTTCAATACCTGTTTTCTCCTCAACAATTCTGATTGTGAGGGAGTTCGGACCAAATTCGTAATAGGTTGTTGTGTTAATTTTGTCATCAATAACATTTTTTGTTACCAGTTTGCCGTCTTCCATAGAAGATACGCTCTGAAATAGGTTTACGTTCAGGTAGTTTAGTTTAGGAGAGTTGTGTGAATACCCTTATAACTTTTCCTGGTAAGAATTCTGTAGTTTCTTGACCAATTCGAAACGATTTTTCACGTGATGAGAACGTGGATCTGACTGTTATCGACCATAAATCTTCTAACTTCAAAACTGCCATGGTAGGTTTAGACCATCTTACAAACAATCGTGTTATGAATGATAAACCAGCTGCTTTCAAGAACTTATTGAGATTTTCGTTCTTTTCGCATTTAAAATGACCCACCAAATCCATTATGCGGAAGTGTACTGCTGTTCAGGTGTATGTTGAGTTGCCTATACCAAATCATAAAATATGTTTAAAATTATTTGAAAAACAAGACAAATTGCACATAATTAGTAAAGATAATTGAAAAACAGTGAAATTAATAATCAACTTTTATCTTTAAAAAAATATCCATAATTTCCGACACTAAACTATTTAGTTCTTGTAATATTGATTGCCTATGTTAGTAGTACTTGTTTCCGTCGAGGTTATATCATTTTATTAGTTGCAATAATATTTTAAAAATGCCTGAAAATGAATCAAAGAATACTCAACCTAAAGAAGACAGTCTACCAGACGAATGGATGGTAATATTTAATGTTCTAATATATGACCTACATTATTATATGGCAATGAATCGTAGATTCGACCAAGCGTAGTTTATGATGATGAATATTCCGATTGTCGGTCAATAAAAAGTCGCTTTCAACAATACTTTGTTGATGGCCATAGCACTGACTGCACACAATGGAAACGCGACTTGGATAATTCATACAAATGGGAAGCCAACAGAGACATTAAAGCTGGTGTAAGACTAAAATTGTGCACAAATTATCAATTTTAAGGTTAGGGTATTTAAATATTGTATGTATTACTTTTAGAAAGAAATAATTAAGTAGTGAGAAAATCAGGCGTTTAGAACGCATGAAAGCACATTATGACAATATGTGGAAAAAGAGGAAGAGCCTCCAGAAGATTGGAGTAAAACCATCAAGCCAGAGTATATGCAGAAGTAGCCATGAAGCCACCCACTTGAATACACATACAAAAGTAAAGAAATCAAAGGTGAAATTGAGCCTACTTTTGACACAAGTTGTAATGATCAGTGTAATTAGGGTAGCATTTATTAAATTAGTTTACGAAATCATCAGCGAACTTGAAAATGCCGCCATTTTGAATGTGTCACGAGTTAGCATGTGATTCGCGAAGTTTGCCGAATAGAAACGAATGGAAAGTAGATTTGACAAATAAGGACATATTTCGTACAATAACAAAACCTCCGAAAGGATATAAAGACTACTAGACTAACAATGTACTTCCAGTTCAAAATTTATGCTTGCTCTTGCTTGTTATTCTCACGTCAAAATCAAAACTCGTGATAGTTGGCAGCACTGTCAGTCTTGACAGATGCGCTATCCGGAAGATCCGGAAAATGCTCAAAAAAACGCACTAACACAAGCGCGTGCCAACNCTACAGGTACTACTCAAGCAAGTCACATAAAATTTTGATTTCTACATAACAGCTAATATAAATTACATAGTAATATAATACCGCATATAAATTATGTATTAATTTATTTTGAGATGTGTTATAAATTCTTTAAATTCGTCTATTTTCGTACGAATATGTTACTAACTTTTATTGTTCATGATTATAATGGTTATAAAAATTCTGGGTGCAATGTTAATTATCACAAGTGATCAAAATTCAAATAATTCAGGAAATTGTCTTGTGTCTGTAAAGCTAGGAACATTTATAATTTTGTTGGAAGTTTTTTGAAGATACGTCGTGCTTCAATACCTGTTTTCTCCTCAACAATTCTAATTGTGAGGGAGTTAGGACCAAACTCGTAATAGGTTGTTGTGTTAATTTTATCATCAATGACATTTTTTGTTACCAGTTTGCCATCTTCCATAGAAGAAACGCTCTGAAATAGGTTCACTTTCAGGTAGTTTAGTTTAGGGAGTTGTGTGAATACCTTTATAACTTTTCCTGGTAAGAATTCAGTTGTTTCTTGACCAATTCGAAAAGATTTTTCACGTGAGGAGAAGGTGGATCTGACTGTTATCGACCATAAATCTTCTAATTTCAAAACTGCCATGGTAGGTTTAGACCATCTTACAAACAATCGTGTTATGAATGATAAACCAGCTGCTTTCAAGAACTTGTTGAGATTTTCGTTCTTTTCGCATTTAAAATGGCCCACTAAATCCATTTTTATGCGGAAGTGTACTCTTGTTCAAGTGTATGTTGAGTTGCCTATATTAAATCATTAAAAATGTTTAAAAATATGTGAAAAACAAGACAAATTGCACATAATTAGTAAAGATAATTTGAAAAACAGTGAAATTAATAATCAACTTTTATCATTAAAAAAGATATCCATAATTTCCATTACTAAACAGTTTAGTTTTTGTAATATTGATTGCCTATGTTACAGTACTTGTTTCCGTCGAGGTTATATCATTTTATTAGTTGCAATAATATTTAAAAAATGCCCGAAAATGAATCAAACAATACCCAACCTAAAGAAGACAGTCTACCTGACGAATGGATGGTAATATTTAATGTTCTAATATATGACCTACATTATTATATGGTAATGAATCGTAGATTCGACCAAGCGTAGTTTATGATGATGAATATTCCGATTGTCGGTCAATAAAAAGTCGCTTTCAACAATACTTTGTTGATGGCCATAGCACTGACTGCACACAATGGAAACGCGACTTGGATAATTCATACAAATGGGAAGCCAACAGAGACATTAAAGCTGGTGTAAGACTAAAATTGTGCACAAATTATCAATTTTAAGGTTAGGTATTTAAATTTTCATACATATTTTTAGAAAGAAATAATTGTTAGTGAGAAAATCAGACGTTTCGAACGCATGAAAGCACATTATGACAATGATGTGTGGGAAAAGAGGAAGAACCCTCCAGAAGATTGGAGTAAACCACTGCCAGAGTATATGCAGAAGGAATATGAAGCCACCTACTTGAATATTAAAAGTAAAGAAATCAAAGGTGAAATTGAGCCTACTTTTGACACAAGTTGTACGATCATGTAATTAGGTAGCATTTATTAAATTAGTTTACTTAGAAATCATGCAGGCAAAATTGAAAATGCCGCCATTTTGAATGTGTCACGAGTTAGCATGTGATTCGCGAAGTTTGCCGAATAGAAACGAATGGAAAGTAGATTTGACAAATAAGGACATATTTCGTACAATAACAAAACCTCCGAAAGGATATAAAGACTACTAGACTAACAATGTACTTCCAGTTCAAAATTTATGCTTGCTCTTGCTTGTTATTCTCACGTCAAAATCAAAACTCGTGATAGTTGGCAGCACTGTCAGTCTTGACAGATGCGCTATCCGGAAGATCCGGAAAATGCTCAAAAAAACGCACTAACACAAGCGCGTGCCAACGATGTGCGTTGATGTGCAACGGTGCACGAATCGCGGCGGTGGTAGTAGTAGCGGAGATAGCGGTGCGTAACGTGTGCGAGCAAGACAAAACGCGTGCCGATTAGCAGTAAGCACAACGAAGAGAAGAAGCGTGGAAAAACGCTAGCGGTGCGTGTGCGCCCGCGGTGCCGTACCGTGCGAGAAGCGAGAAGGGCCGCGCTCGCCGAGGAGTGTCGGAGTGAGTGTTTGGTTAGATCTCTGCTGCATGACACATTCCCAGCCCCGCAATCCCGCAATTTCCGTCGACCACTCTTCCGCTCGCACCGGAGTGTCACCCAAAAACAAACGAATCTCACGCAGACGCTGCCGCCCGATCACGAGCATCACGCGAAACCGCGCCGCTAATTGTTCAGTGCAAATAAACTCGACAAACAAGTGTTGTTGCCTGTGATACATCGTAGAAAAAAAAAAAACACACAACTAACAAGAAACTCGCGCACCACGAGCAGCGGGCAGTGTGTATAGTAATCGTTGCACTCGCAGTGTTTTGTTTTCCTCACATTGCAATAATGGCTAACCGCGACGATTATCTAACGGACTATCGGCAGTTTTTCGAACATTTCGCAAAGACCGTCAACCCCAACGAGCAGTTACCTGTGAAGCTGGCGAGTTACAAGCTGATCAACGTCGAAGTCGTCGGCGGGATCATCGATTGGACCACGCAATATCTCACCGAAAAGTAAGCGCAGCGCAATCGCTGTTCGTCTTTTGTTTCTTTTTCTTTTTTCTTTTTTTGCTTTTTGTAATAACGTGTTGCGCGACCAGCAGTCATGCAACGACTCTTTATATTCTTTTTGTTGCTTCGTGGTAAATTACCCCCGAAGGTGATTACAACTATTGTGTTGTCATAGTAACACAACAATACAAAGACACCCCACAACACAATTTATTTATTTATTAATTTCTATGCATAAAAATATAAATAACCGGTCGGTGGATGGAATATTACATGCATTAATAATAATGGCACGAAAAATTGTTTGTATTTTATTGCATTACAAGCGTATTCTTAATGCTTCTCATCTATTCTCGTCTCGTTTGGGTTTAATTAGACTAATTAACATTACAGTCATCCGAGTGTCGTAATACTCTACGCGTATCTTGAAAATTACGAAAATTATTCACCGTAAATTTTGTATTTTTAAAACAAATTTTTATTTCAATGGCGGTTTTTATTATTATTTTGTTGTTTTTCATGTAGTAACCTGTATAGTTTAGAATTTCTCGTGCATAATTAATAAACTAATACCACGCACCGGGTGTTTTGCGCTTGGCGCTCGGCACTCACTCGTGTCGTTAGCACTTTTTTCCTCGTTTTATAATCACAAGAGCGTAATTACATCAATCTAAATCTACCCAATCTAATATCTAATGTATTCGATGTGTGTGTGTGTGAGTTGTTTGTGTGCTTACAATGTGTAAAATGTCTGCAATCCGTTGCTGTTGCTATCATCAGTTTGTTTTTCGCTGATAATTTGTGTGCTGTTTGATCCGGGCGTGTTTTGCAATATATAAATTAAATTCGTGTCGATAAATGTCGTGGAAAAGTGAGTCAAATGTGACATTCGTGACTCATTGCTAAATTAATAGCGCGCCGACGGTGCGGGAAGGTGTGATTGTTTGATCTCTATAAATAAATAAATTATTAGAAATGGTGGTGTGTTGTGCGTGTATCATAGGATGTGATTGCGACCACAAATGGCTCACTTTATAGTTTGCAAATGTTAATCGTATTATTTTTCTTGTGGTTTGTTTTATGCATTCATGAATTTAATTGTTTTGTGTTTATTATTATGTTGCGAATTAGCGGTTTGCTTCGCGGCTTGTAAATTTATTATTCTAATGAGTGAAAATAATAGGCGTTGTTTGGTAAATGGAAAGTTTGTGCGTTCGTCACTTTTGTTTCATAACAAACGACGATTGTTTGTTTTTCGTATGAAACAATCTTAAATGAATACATTTAACGCCAACGATTGTAGAAAAAATTGTTTTCTGCGGTAATAGGCTTCAATTTTGCGCACTCGAGCGAAAAAGTTGTTTTTTAATACTTACACGTAGGTAAACACTAAAAGTGTTATCATTCTTTCTCTTTGTGTAGTAAAATATTGTGTTTTACACTTTTAACATATTTAATTTGTTATTTTCCTTTAGAAAATACACGCAACGCGCACAAATTGCCATAATTTAATATAAAACTATTAAATTAAATTAAATATTGTGTGCATGTGGATAAAAAACAAGTTTATGGCTTAAAATAACCAAAACTTTACTTCTCTGCGGCTATAAAACAGTTTTATGATTCAATATGGCGGTTTCCGCTCGGAAAATTAACCTAAAACATCAATTTTCTATCAAAATGAACACAAAAACTCTAATTCTTTGTCGATATAATATTGAATACAATTTATATTGATTTCATTACTCTATTGATTAGTAATGCGACGTAATTTTCCTGAAAATTTATAGAAATTGACATAATTCAGTTTTTATTTTATGGAAAAACACGCAAATTGCGCAACATCATGCGCTGATCCGCCACCATCATTGCTCGTGAATGACGTGTGACGCTCCGCTGTGTGCCATATGCACTACTCCCCTCCAGCCCTGCGAGTGTATCCTGCGTCCTGCCCTGACGTCCTGCCGCCTGCCTTGTTTGTCAATTCGACTCTGAGCTGGCTGCTACGCAGCGCCCGTTCGCGCACACGGCTCTGCAAAGGCGCTGCGCTCCCAACAAAACGTAATCAATCAGATATGCGTTAGGCACCCGTCCATCGCCAGTGCGCATTCAGTGTTTAACGCAATCCGCGATCAAATGTTTTCTTTCGTTACGTGCGTGTTTGATGGCTGAATATTGATGTGACAAGCATCGCTTGTATCGGTTACTCATCCGAACGGAGCACCTAACCTGCAAATCATGGATTGGACGCCGCAAGAAGACGTTCTCAAGCAAGTACTCGCCGTGCTCGAGGACTCGTTTATACCCGATAGTGTCGTCCAACGCAATGTGCAAGAAAATCTACGCCTACTACAGCAAAATCCAGAATTCTGTAGTTATCTCCTGCTTGTCTGTGAGAGCAATCAGACATTTGATGACAGGACACGAGCACTGGCTGGACTCATACTCAAGAACAACATTGTTTACCTCTACTCAAACATTCCAGTCTATGTGAAGCATCAAATGCAGCACAAATGTCTTGCGATGCTGAGTGACACCAGCAGAGAAGTACGATTGAGTGCCTCAGTACTCATTAATGTCATGGTGCAGAAGGAAGGCTTTGCAAGCATGAGCAACATAGTCTCAGTTATACTCAATCTGATATCAGCAGGCAATGATGATGTGTGTGAGGCTGCAATGAAGACTCTAGTCTTAGTGACTGAGGATTACTTGAATAGTTTGAATTACTCCACTCAAATTGATGGAACAATAAAAGGTCTACTGGGGACTTTTGTTGAGTTGACTGGACATAGAAGTGTGGAAGTCAGGAAATGGGCATTCCGGATCCTCAATGAAACCCTACAGAAACACTATTACTTGATAAATGCTGATTTTGATCGGAGAGGTTATCTGGAGAAGTTAATATCGCACGCGATTGATGAACATCCACAAATTATTCTTGCTGTTGTCCAAGGGTTTGTCACATTTGTAAATAATCAAGATGATACTATTCTGCCGGCGATGAACGATGTTATCTGCTACATGATTACGAAATCTGTGGATGACAATTCGGATATTGCCCAGCAAGCTGGGGAATTTTGGCTGGCGCTTTCCAAACTCCAGTTGTGTGTTGGAATGTTACGTGCGCATCTCAAAATGTTGATTCCTATTCTCCTTAAAAATATGAGGTTACTTTAATTTCCTTCTTTTTGTATGCAAAAATTAATGAATTTTATTTTAGATATTCTGATTATGAACTGATAGTTCTTAAAGATACCCTAGGAAAAGACCTGGATACTCAGGACAGCGCCCAGGATGTGAAACCTTTTGCCAAAGCATCGGACGACGATGACGATCCGGATATTGCGTGCACGCTGCGAAAATGCAGCGCAGCTTCACTGGACTCGCTCGCGATACGTTTCGGCAGTGAACTCGTCGATATCGCCCTACCATTAATCCTCGCCAATCTTGACTCAGAAGATGCACTACTCAAAGAATGCGGTATACTTGCTTTCGGTGCCATTGCCGATGGCTGCTTCCATTCGCTTGCGAAACACTTGGCTGACTTACTTCCGCTGTTCTTGGAGTGTATGGATCACCCCTCGGCGCTGGTGCGTAGCATTACCTGTTGGACCCTCAGTAGATATACACGGTACATCGTTTATGATGATCAGTTATTCCTGGCTACTCTGAAGTCGTTATTGGAGCATTCTTTGGATGATAACAAACGCGTGCAGCGTGCGGCTATTTCTTCGTTTTGTTTCTTTCAAGAGGAGGCCAAGATTAAACTGGTGGCTTATATAGATGTTATTACACAAGCGTTTGTGCGTGGTTTTGATATTTACAAAACACGCTCGTTGTTTTTGCTTTACGACGCCATTGGAGTTTTGGCGCAAGGCGTTGGTTCTCATTTTACGAGTGTTTTGGGTGTACTTATGCCAAGGTTACTTGATAGATTTACCACGTTGGATGATTATAACAATCCAGAGGAGTTTCTTGCAATCTGCGAGTGTTTATCCAACGTGGTGATTTCAGTCGGTGATGAATTCGCTCCCTATGCTGAGCTTGTTTATGTCAAATGTACGAGTATACTCACAGAAAATAATCTCGGCGATAATTCCGATGAAGAATATGATAAGAATCTTGTCTGTGGTGCCATGGATCTCTTGGTTGCACTCTGCAGTACTTTGAAAGGACAGTTTGCCAGCTTTTTTGTTAATTTGAATTTTATTGATCAACTATATGGAGCCATACAAGATAAATCTATCAATGTACGTCAGCCGGGTCTAGCGCTGCTCGGCGAGATGGTGAATCTATGTTTTCCGTACGTCGCACAGCATGTGCATGTCTTTATGCCGTTGATTATTGAGAATCTCGATAAGCGATTCAATGGCGCTTGTAATAACGCTGCGTGGGTGATTAACAAATTGTGTATTGCCATGGAATCCGCAATGGCGCCATATGCAGGCAAGATTATTGAACATGTGGCGGAGATTCTGCAGAGTACGGATGGTTTGCAGAATATGCACAAGACTGTTGCGATTACATTCTGTATTCTGGGGTTGGTTTGTCCTACAGAGGTGTCTCCTTATTTACGCACACTAATGCGGCCTGTCTGTCGAAATATTCGGAATGTAGCGGATTGTGAGGATAAAGAAAATGCATTCCGCGGTTTGTGCGAATTAATAATGCGTAATCCCGACGTATTCGCTGATGATTTCATTTATTTCTGCGATGCGGCCGCGTCCTGGAGCGATGTCGAGACTGAGTTACGTAAAAAAATTGCTTACATGATAATGGAATACAAGCAGCACATGGGTAACAACTGGGAGGAAGTCTATGGCACTTTTCCGCCATTACTCAAAGGTCGACTTGCTGCGTTGTACGGTGTTTGAGCACCCGGAACAAAGAAATGGATCAGTATTTCTGACTTTGGTGATTAGATCGATTGTATTGAAGTATCAATTGGATTGAAGCAGGACGCGACGATTGTTAGAATCAATGTTTATTTTTTCTAATGGAAATTTTTATTTGTGTGACGAAAACAACTGGAGAATTTTGACGATGATGTTGTATTTGCATGTATCAGTATTCTATTTTCTTACTGAGCGCTGTCATGCTAAGTAAAACTTGATGTGGCCTGCAGTAATGGGAACTAATTGAGAAATAACCAAATTTGGGACGCAATTGAGATTTGCTAGAATGTCTAATAGGTTTTAAGCAAAAGCAGAGTCCTTGTACTTGTAAATGAAAACAATTTCAATGTGATATCAAAGAATTATCGATGATTTTAAATGAATAATGTGTGTATCTGTTTGGGATTTAATGTGAATTTTACTATGCGAAGAGTTATTTCTTGTCTTACAATTTGATTGTAACTTTAGTATTATTTACTGTATTATATCAAGACTGTGTATACAAAATCAACCAAAAAATGATAGTAAATTGTAAAATTATTTGCTTTATTACACCTTTTTAACATAGGCAACTTTAATTACATGTTTTGGTTGTATTTTTAATAGAAATTAATAATAAATGTTTTCTATTTGCAGAAAATGCCCAAAAAGTTTGCTCAGTCCTTTAATCAAGATTATTATCGAAGAAGTTCGCACCAACTGCAAAAAGGATCCAATCGCGTGCGGATTCAACACATCAGAAAATGGTGAATACTTGAAATTCAAAATGGCCGACGATTTGTTACTGTTTTGCTGTTTTTTTTAGCCTACGAACCGCTAAAGCTTATGCAATCGGTGATACTACAAGTCAACGAAATATGTCTCAGGTATTTGGACAACAGTATGCTGTGCTCGCTGCCGTCCCCGGGTCCTCCCTACAATTTGGTCAGTTACCATGCGGTGCGGAACAGCCGTCGCCGCATGGAAGATAGGCACGTCATTGTGCATGATTTGAACACTATTTTTAACAAAAGTGTAAGTTTTACTCTCACAGACTACAAAGTTTTATATTTACTGAGTGTTTCTTTTGATATTATAGGAGGTTAGTCCGTCCAGTTACTATGCAATCTTTGACGGTCATGGCGGACAAGATGCCGCCGCCTACAGCGCCGCTCACCTTCATCAATACCTCGCCGAAAGCAAATCCTTCGCCGGTCAGCCGGACGATGCCTTAACAGAAGCCTTTTGCCGGACGGACCTTTTGTTCATCGAGAAATGTAAAGTCGAAGTAAGTTGCACACTTAAAACTTTTCTGCTGGTTGAGATTAATGCTAGCAATTTATTTCCCCCTGCAGAACTTTTCCGGTGGCTCGACGGCGTTATGTGCGCTACTGCGTCCGAAAGAGAAAAGTTTGTTTGTCGCATGGGTTGGGGACTCGCAAGCGATCTTGGCAAGACAAGGGCTGGTCGAACAATGTGTGCGCCCTCACAAGCCAGATCGCGAGGACGAGCGCAAGCGGATCGAAGCCGAAGGCGGCAGTGTCATTTACTGGGGTACATGGCGTGTCAATGGACAATTGGCCGTTTCACGAGCAATCGGTAATTTATATTCGAATTATCCTCCATGCGAGTTTTATTAATATTTATTATTATTATGCGCATGCAGGCGACTCAGAATACAAACCCTTTATTAATGCGATACCGGACGTGCGTGAATACGCTCTGGATGGCACCGAAGACTTCCTTGTTTTGGCCTGTGACGGATTATGGGACGTTTTGAGGGATGATGATGCCGCCCTCATCGTGTACAATGCCATCTATGAAAATCCAGGTGAGTGAATTAATAACGTATATCACATTTCGTGTATATCTGGTTGCCTAGGGTCATCGCTCATGACTCGAGATTAATTTTCCTAGCGGGCCGTCGGTTACAGTTAATTAATAATGGTGATTTGCGCTGAATAATCAGAGAAACGCGCTCGGTTGTGCGCGCGTTCAACGTTTCTCTCTCTCTCTGACGGCGCCTCCCTTCCCCATCTCGACGATTCTATAATAATAATAATTGCTCTCCGACGAGTTAACGACCGCTCGATTCGTGTGGGCATGCTGCGCGGCGGCTTTCGGAGCTATTCTTGCACAGTTTTCCCCAGCGCGCAGCACACTCCCCCTGATCTCTGATCACTTCAAAGTGGCTGCACGCTTTCAAGTGTGCAATTAAAAATATGCATTGAAGATGTTCAAGGTAGTTATATCACGCAGGGTGGGTGTGATAATACTCTTCTTCACCCTTATAACTTGTTTTGTAATTGGCTTGATCTGCTTGTGATTGAATGCGAAATTGTTGCGCGTCTCCTCCCAAAACATGTCGCAATGACATTACATTACATCGTGTCTGGCTGTTCCGGTTCGAAATAATTTTCTTGTTGCGTTTGTTTTTTTTTTCAATTCTCGTCTCGTCTGGCGTGGTTTCGACTCGCCTTGTTCGCAGCGCGTCTGACGGCCGACGAAAGGCGGCGCGCACACCCAGGTGAAATGCGTTCGCTAATAACGTTTGCCTATTGTTGCAATTATAACGACTATCTGCTCTAAATATAGTTCAACAGACTTTGCAACGGTCGAGCACAAGCGGCGTGTTGTCTACGTGCAGACGCTCGAAACTGATTTGTTTGTTTTCTTTTTCTTCGCTGCCTGCCACGCGCGCACTACGTTCGACGTCGATGGACGTTCACCAGGCTCGCTGGTGTGTTGTTAGTGTATTAAATGCTGGCTGCAATCAGCTTTCAATAGATCCGCACAATTCAAGTGCAAAATAAATAACAATTTGAAGCCGGTGGTTTTATTTATTCCTGGGAGCGTTTATAACGTTTTGTCTGAGAAATATTACTTTATAATTGACGGCAACGGATAACTTAACAAGTTAATTAAAGCTCGGCGATAATTCAATTAAAACGCGAGAATTGTTTAAACTGGAGGAAGACTTGATGTTGGAGGAATAACTTTGCTTTGAACGCATATATTATCAACGTTTGTAGTGGTTTTGTTGTGTAAAGTGAATTATTAATCGGTTTAAACTTCAACAAGCCAACAGAAATACATAAATATTAACTTTTAACACACGGCTTTTGAAAAACTGTTCTTTAATGATCGGAAATCGATATTATTCACAAAGAAAAAGACATTTTTGTAAAAATTGTTGATTAAGTTGAGAAAAATGACATTTTAGTTAGTTATTTTTGAAATTCGCGCCTTTACGCTTGGTACAATGCTTGTGACGTCATTATTGAGTTGACAAAAGTCAAAATTTGACGTTTACTTAACCTATTTCAGAAAAAAAAACTTCAAATTTTTCTAAAACAAAATTTTCTTGTTTCTTCCAAACAATTTTTATTTTTATTTGAATTAGGCGAGCAAACAAGCTTCTAAACTGACAATTAACTATTTATTCCTTTAAAATTTCTAAATTCTTGTTGCCTAATACAAATAAATTGAGATATTTTGCACTGTTACACTTTTCATCGCCGTTTTTATAATCAAAATGTAACTACAGCTAATTCTCGGAGAACAGCACAAACAACAACATGGTTTTATTAGATAATAGCTATGCTGGTAGGTAATGGAAACGAATATCGCCGCATTTAAGTCGTAACTATGATTTATGCGCCTCAGCATTCCACGCCGAACAATGCCGTATACCGTGTTCCGATTTCGAATTTCTTTATGGTTATCGCTCATCATTGCGCTGACACTGAATTCAAACATTTATCAAACTACATGCATTACCGTCACAACAAACAAAACATTGATTAATATTAATATTACTTATTTTTCGCCGAAAAATAACATTTTTCGCTATAAAATAAAATATGAATGTGCAGTCGAATGTGCAAATTTTTGGCAAAAACAGGTCGAAATTTAAATATTTACTTTAGAGGGTGATGATAATATAAATTAATAACAACGTTGTGGGTTTGCGTTTGATATAATTAATTAATTATCACTGGCGGCGGTTGCGTGCTTTCACAATTTGCATGCCTCATACTCGCATTCGCGAAATCGACGACGTACGGACTGAAAAGCTCGCAATAATATTTCGCAGCGTTTAAACACGTCATTCATGCATGCTTAAACGCACACGTGAATGATTGAGCGCGTACGAGCGGGCGTGCTTTTTTTTAATTGCTCACCGCTGCTTTTTATATCGAATTTATACGCGCGCGCAACGAGGGCGATGCACACACACACACACACACAACTTAATCCACAACATACAACTGCTCCGACCGTTGGCGTTTACATTAACCTACAATAACGATAATGATGGATTATGTCTTGCACGGCGCGCAAAATCTGCATAATATTCAGTGTTGGCCGCGACCGACAACAACAGTTCATTGATGGCGGTCGGTATCCATATGGGGCGGGGCATTATTTTGTTATTTAGTTTAATTACACGCGAGTTAATTACACGGATGGTTGTAAATTAAATTTATTACCATCGACGCTGTGTATGTGGTTTCATTCATACATGGCGTTTTGACTTTCTATAATATTTATAATATTAAAATGAATTGCAAAATATGTTTGTAAACGCATAACTCAACATCGCTTCGACCAATTTGACCAATTCTTTTTTTAATGTTTGTTAAAGTCCAAGGTTGGTTTTACAGCGAGAAAATTCGAATAATTGCCGGAAAACCCTAAAGACAGCCCTTTTCTATAGGATAAAGTTGGCATTGAGATTCAATCATAGTTATAGTTAAATAGTTGAATCCGAGATGGCGCGCTAAAGTGCATTATTAGCTATTCTTTATATAATTAATTTCTTTAAAATAAAATTGCGCTTTTTCTTGTTTATTTTGTATTTTTGATGAAATTTTGATTAGAAATGGTGAAAAATTAAATTTTTTGAGGAATTTTTTTTGGTGGGTGATTTGAAGAGGCAATAAATAAGATGAGGGTCGCATTGATGGGTCCACGTGGTGAGGGTTGGATGCGTAAGGGGCTTGTATCTCGTACGCATCTCAATTGTAGTCAATTTCACATTTATTATCGTTAGACGTTGACATCTATGGAATTTTTGGTATTTTGCTGAGGATTTGTTCAAGATAATAGCAATTTTTGGTTTTATTAGAAATTTAGACAATATGTTACCTGTTTTTTTCTTGAAACAAATGTGTTTTGCTTAAAATATTTCCTAAACTTGCTGTAAGTGTGCAAACTTGTGACATATTTTGAGGTTAGTTAAATGTCAAAAGTTTTTGACAGAAATTCCCCTTCGTTTATATTCGTTTATATTCGTTTAACCCTAAAGTTACCTTCACACAACTTACAAAAAAGACAGAAAAAAACATTCTCTTTAAAAATAACTATTAATTCAACCATAATTCTCTTGTCGTTCTTATGCCCAATGCAAACAAAAAGTATGAGTCAACAATTTCGTCAAAATCAATGAACGCTGAATTAAAAATAGTTCCTGTATGTTTCATTTCATGCAGCATGCCCTAAAAAAGCATGTACGCTGAAAGCATACATAAAACGTGTGTAAACTGTGTGCATAT